AAAAAAAAAAAAAAAAAAGAAAAAAGAAAAAAGCGCCCTAAAGACTTTTTCAACCGTGAGAAGTTGGAATGAGTCCTAAAGCAAATTCCTTCCAACTTACTACCGGATGTGACCGTGACTAAAACCCTATGGCTTTGAAAATATTCCTTTTTTTTAATTAATTTATTTTAAAAAATATAATATAATTTGAGGTGTATTAAATTATGTTATATTAATTATTAAATGAAAAATAAACCTCTTTATATTAAGGACCTTTTCCTTATTTATTAATCTCTATTTTATAATTCTACACAATTAAAATTATAAAAGAAGGTTTTTTTTTTCTTGAACAGTTAAAAATTTGGGACAGAGAATTCGAACACCAATCTCACACCTTTACAATAGGCATAGAGTCGTTGGGCACCAAAACTTAAGTGCAAGGAAGTTTCTCATTTATTTACCATGATAGTTCATGAATCCATTTTTAGTTCATGGTTATGGCCATCAAAATTATTATTAAGGTTATTATAATTGTAAAATAAGGTTGCTTAATATGTGTATGAAGAATATAATTATTATATTTTTTTAATATTAATTAGTATTAAAAAAGTTAACATTTATTAAAGCAACTATCTAAAATAGGTTAATTGACTACAGTCTACAGCTAGCGTAGTTCATGGAGTTAGGCATACATGCACAACCCAGAACTTGTACAGATTGTCTCCATCCTGACAGTACAAGGGGAATGGCAGAATTGAATAGTATTATTATTTACAGTGGAATACATATATATAGTAGCAGAATATTGACCAAAATACATAAAAAAAAGAAACATAAAACTAATTTCTATTTACACGGTCCAAAACCAAAGATTCATTTATTTTTAGTAATGGAGTCCTCCGGAAACCAAAAAAAAAAAAAAAATGGAGTCCTCCAATAATAAAAATTTCATATCAAGTATCACTTTCCTTAACACGTTCCACTTGAACAGGAACTTGGATATGCCTAGGTGAATCCAGGTCAACCACGCATAAGTGCATAACCAAAGTCCAAGGAGGCGAACTTGTCCTCAAAAAATGGTGACACTCATTTTCATTTATTTTTCTCTGTTCTTTCTAGTTCTTGCTTTTTATTATAAAACTTTGGGTTGGAAATTGAAAATAAAATGATCTTGTATGAGTTAAGTCTTGTTTTGCATAACAATAATTTTTATAAGAGTTTTGTTTAGGAATTTATATTTTATGATTTGAATTGTATATTAAAAATATAGTCTAATTTCTGAATTTATTAAAATATTTTTAGTAACATTATCCTAATTTTTGTATATTTTTTCAAAGAAAAATCTCAATTATATTTTATAAATATTTTTATTTAAAATATTTTAATAAATTTATGAATTAAATGATATTTTTAATGTATAATCTATCATATAAATTATTTTTTATTTTATTTAAATAAAAATTATAAAATATAATTGAGATTTTTCTTTGAGAAAATCATACGAAATTTGGTTTGTGAAGGCTTGTTTTGAAGTTATTACAATATATGGTTGGAAGACGGAAGAATCTGACCTCAAGGTCAAGGTAAGATTGACGTGGATGAGAATGAGATGAACTGTGTGTGTACTGTATATACTGCGTAAAGACTCGAGTGTGTGGACACGACCAGGAGGTTGCCATATATTGTCACGTTAGTCAGTCGACATCAAGCCCCGTCGGTTACTTCGAGAATAGGCAATGTAAAGATCGTTGGTTTTTTCTAAAAAAAAAAAAAGAAAAAAAAAAGATAGTTGGTTTTTTTATAATATTAATATATATAATTTTTATATGTTATTAAATAAATAAATATATTTAATTTTTAAATAAATAAAAATATTAATTACATTTAA